ATTTTAATGCACTTCTGCATTAGAGAAGAGATAGCGAAGGCCTTCAGTGTGTGCGGCCGGATTTCATTATTCTGCACACGTTATTATGAGAAATATGCATTAGAGTGGGCAAATATATATTTTAATATATAAAAAAAAAAAATAAAATAAAAAAAATAAAAATAAAAATAATAGGATATAAAAATAATAATAATAATACAACAAAAATGCATTCGAGTAGGCAAATAAATGTTAAAAAAAAAAAAAATATTTTAAATAATAATATATGAAAATAATAATAAAAAAAAAATGAAAATATATATAAAAAAAATTAAAAAAATAATAAAAAATAATAAATATAAAATATATATAGTCGTCATACATATACGTATAATAATACAATAAATAGCAAATTTTTATACTTATAATCACTATTTTAATTAGATTTTGAAGAGGCAGATGTGAGTCATGAAGAGCTTCGCAATTTAAGTTTAAGTCATAAATTAACAGCACTCATGATTAAATTATGAATTTCAAATTTTAATTAGCGCCCTTCACTTGACCCTGACCTGTGCTTACACCGCTACAAATGCCCTCTCCCTTTTCCGTGTAGTTGCTATTATTTTTTATATATTAATTTTTTTTTGTATTTGTTTGCTTGGCATTGAATGCATTTTACCGCAGCAGCTGCCCGAACTCCCGACACTCCCCACTGCAACTCGATGCAAAAACAATAAAAATAAAATCGCAGCTGTTAATTGCAATAAAAATGCACGAGCCCCTGGGCTGGGCTGCTGCGCCGATAGGGTCAATATGCTACAATGGCTAATCGACAGCAGGCGGAATGAACGGTTTTCGTAATTGGCATTAGATATGCAAAACAAAGCAACGGCAGCTGCCTCAATACGTGCGGGTAGCCAGTCAACTATCGTGGCCGCTGCTGATGCAATTTGGCTGATGCCAATGATCATTGAGCCATAAGCGCAAATTAGACCGAGAAAAAAATGTGTCTGCGGTGTTGAAATCCCCAAGTGTTGTTTATGGCAAATGGCACCAAAATGTTGCACAGATTGCAATATGTGGGGCAGGGCGGAGTGGAGGAGTGGGAGGCAGACGGTGAAAGTGGAAGGCAGATAGAAAATTTTGCTTAGCGATGATAGCAGGTGGAATGCTCTGCCTCACGCACGCAAAATGTTGGCGAGGCAAAGCAGGCGAAGGCCATAAATGATATTTGACACATAAAAATAACAACAATGATATAAATAAATAGCATAAGCTGTCTAATCTGTATTTATGACAAAAAACTTGGTCGACAATCGCGAAACGAGTAATTCAATGAAATTTATCAATGCCAATTCATATTGTTGGCTGGCCTAAAGTCGTGCGCAGCACGCCCTTCACTATGTCTGCTCACGAGAGTCGTGCTTGTATCGTAACTTCATTCGCATGAAAAGGCAGCAGCCAGCAGTTGCCACATGCTGCACGCGAAAAAATCCGTGGTGGAAAAAATCAGACGGCCCAGGGTCGATTCGTTGGAATGGGTCGCGACACTGCTGCAACATGCGTGTAAGTGTAATTTGGAGCCAATGTCATACTCCACCCCACTTGCCACCAGCCACCAGCCACCTGCCACCTGCCACCGACCACCTACCACGTATGATATTCAAGTAACGAATCACACTTTGCGTTTCCGTTTCGCATTTTAATGAGATTGTCGTAAGCATGCGGTGCACCGGGTCAACGGAAGCCAAACAGACCTTATTAAAGTTGAAGTAGTTGTTCAGAATTTATCATACATCAGAAAATCGTATTATGCTTCTTCATTGGGGATTAAATTTGAAGAGTTGAAAGCACAGAAATTTGTTTAACGAGTGTGAACTATATTTAACATATATTATTATAAGTACTTCATTACAGGAGACGTGAAAAAGAGCAGTACACATATATTATATGAACATGCACGATCGCATTACACATGCGATTGGTCGACTTCTGCTGTTCTTTTTCAGCTTGAAAGTGTCTTCGCTCACTGACAATCACAATGAGCCTCTCCGAATGTCCTATGCAGTCATTTCGCTCTCGCTCAGCAAGAGACTACGTTCGGCAACAGACACGAGTGATTGATAGTGTCTTTTAACAGTGGACAACAACTGTCGTCGTCTCCCTCGCTCTCTCGCTCTAGTCTCACTAACACAACAGCAACAGCAAGTAGTCGCTGCAATCGTCACTGTTAAAAGAGTTAGAATTACTTCACTGTTAAGAGACTCAGCCAATCACTCAAGATTGAGTCTTTTAACAGAATGTGTAAACTACAGAGTCTTTTAAAAGCTACGCTTTACAGATTGATAAGTTTGGCAAACAGTCGGATTTAACAGAAGCATGTCATATGTACAAGTACACACATAAATAAAAGCTTCAATCTTCAAACTTTAAATAATGAAGACTTCTAACATACAGTAAAAAGCACTTTAAGTGCCCTTTTTAAAAATAGATTCAGACTTCAAGTTAAGAAAAATCAATACTGCCACGCCCGCCGCAGTTCGGTAGACTCGGCTAATAAATTATGCATTTACAATTAAATAAATTACTTTTTGAACGAACATTGGACAACAGCACTAAAACTTCACGCTGTCCTCTACCGTCTCTACCGTATTCTCTCTCCCTCTCTGGCCCTCCTTCTCTTTCAAGCTTGATTTGTTTTTATTTTTTTGTCTGTTATCCACTTTAGCATTGTCCAACTAAAGTTTGCCACTTAAATTGATTGCGAAATTTCGAAATTAATCGCAATTATTTAACCGCACTTAATTCACTTTCACTTTACTTTAAAGGCAATGGAAAAACTTTCAGCTCGAGAACTTTGTCTTCTCGACTAAATTTAATGCCGTCCGTTGCAAGCGAAAAGAAACCCATCAATGTCCCACGCCCACCGCCCACGCACATTTCAATTATCATACACACAGTGCTCTGCGTTTTTTCGTCATCTTTTCTCGCTGTTTTCCTTTCGTGTTTTTCCCACTGCGCCACGCCTCGGCCGTGCTGCTATTTGTGCGAAATGTTTGTTCAAGGCAAACGCCATCGCATCCTTGGGAAAAGCGTCTTTTACTCGATTAATACCCGAGTGCATTTAATTAAAGAATACCAATACAACAATCATTTACAGCCGGCCAGAGAATTATTTAATTATGAAATGTGAAAAAGTCGGTTGATTTAAAATTATTGACTGCTTGACTTCTGCAAAGA